ATATATAAATATTTATACATATATAAATATTTATATTATAATTTCGTGTTGAATTATTGTACGGTAAATTACAGTGCAGATGTCAGAACGCATTGGGTGCAATTTGCTGGAAAGTTTGTATATCTTAACTCTAATTGGCTTTAAGTGGCTGCGCGTATTTGCGTGTGGGTGGGTTGGTGGGTTCTCTTGAAAATGGTCTAGATTTTGTCATCACCCATGTACGGATTCCAAAGGGAATAAAAATCAGATTTAAGACTTAAATTATCATAATTCATTTAAGGAATAACTCATCAACAATTGTTTAGTATATGACATTCTCGTGATTGGGTCGCTGGCCCACTCTTATGACCCCTGGCCATTTTGACAACGGCTTGTGGCATCAGGTAGGCATCGCCGTATATTAAGCCATTAACATAGGTCTCCATGTTCTCTTCCCCCAGCCCCTCCCCCTCCCCCTCCCGCCTCACCTACGGGGGGGGGATCTGACTAACAGGTGGTCTAATGTTTTAGAGGCTAGACCACAGAGTCGTCAATTCGGGTCCCTACGCGGGTCACGTCGGTTAAGTTAGATTCGTAAGTTGGCAGTCTTCTTTTCTCGTTTGCGTCATAAGGTTCGTTCATCACGTTTCCGTTTCCGCCAGGCGTCACTTTTGCTCGGCTCCGCCATGTTCTGGTACGGCTGTCGTCCCGTGTCACCCGCTGCCCAGCCACTCAGCCAGTCCTTGCGGCAGTGGTGTTTTAGCCAAGCTTAGACGCCCAGCTGAGACATGGGCTTGTCGGGTTGGGACTGGGTCGCACCTTCTCGCGCAAATGTATCGGCCTGTCGTTCTACGTCACCTCACCGTGACAAGGGATACACTGAAGGAAAACGTTCCCGCCTCGTGCATGGATGCCGTCTACTGTTTCCAAAAATTACGTTTGTTACTGAAGCCTCCGCCGAGCCGCTACCCGTACTTTCAAGAGCAAAGCGTGAGTCGGCGAAGACACAAACGTCGGGGGACACTTTTCCTTTTCGCCAGGCGTGGACGCACTTGGTTAAGGGCGACCGATATCGCTTCCAGTGCTACATCGAAGTTGTTTCTATTGTTATCCCCTGGGCCATGAGATCTCCTGGGTGTGGAGGTACCTCCCCTTGGGGTGGTGGTACCTCTCCTGGGGGTGGTGGTACCTCTCCTGGGTGTAGTGGTACCTCTCCTTGGGGGTGGTGGTGGTACCTTTCCTGGGTACCGGATGAGAGCGCCGTACCCTCTTCTGTTTCTAACTAGCGAAGCATTGGATCGTCTGAGAAGACTTTTACCCTTCGGCTAGGGTTTAAAAAAAAGTTTTTAAATAATCAAAGGAAACAATATACATAAAACAAAATCGTACTTCAAATAATCCATTGGAATAAACATAATTTGGTCATTGTATATGTATATATATTTTAAACATTGAAAAGTGGTGGCCTATATTCTGTCAATGGATTCTCCCATTTATACTCAATACCCGTTTAAAATAAACTTCAGAAGTGAGCAGTTTGGGTTGCTGTAATGTTTACTGTAAGATTGTACAATAAAAATGTTTGTGTTTGGCCCCCCCAAAAAAAAATTCTCTTCAAGTTTCAAGGCATCTAACCTGATTAAAAAAAAAAAAAAAAAATAAATCGGACATTGGAAATCATACTTAAAAAAAATAAACTTTTTTTTTTTCAATAAAAATGTTTGTGTTTGGCCCCCCCAAAAAAAAATTCTCTTCAAGTTTAAAGGCATCTAACCTGATTAAAAAAAAAAAAAAAAAATCAATCGGACATTGGAAATCATACTTTAAAAGAATGCACTTTTTTTTTTCATCAGCTAAAATGTTTGTTTAAAACCAGCCGTTGAGCTGGAATCGCATGGCCATCTATAGAGTTGAAGTAACAGTCTTTGTTGGAGGTTTGTCTGAAGGCAAAGCAGTCTCCACTTGATAAAATTGAGCGTGAGCTAAAACACAATAGGACCTATGCTATTCTAATACTTTTATACATACTTTACTCAAATAAATAAGTTCATCAACCTTAATTAAGAACACATTTGCTGTCCTTGCTGAACTTAACAAACACATTTGCTGTACTTGGTGAACTTAACAAACACATTTGTTGTACTTGGTGAACTTAACAAACACATTTGTTGTACTTGGTGAACTTAACAAACACATTTGTTGTACTTTGTGAACTTAAGAAACACATTTGTTGTACTTGTTGAACTTAACAAACACATTTCTTGTACTTGGTGAACTTAACAAACACATTTGTTGTACTTGGTGAACTTAACAAACATATTTGTTGTACTTGGTGAACTTAACAAACACATTTCTTGTACTTGGTGAACTTAACAAACACATTTGCTGTACTTGGTGAACTTAACAAACACATTTGTTGTACTTGGTGATCTTAACAAACACATTTGTTGTACTTGGTGAACTTAACAAACACATTTGTTGTACTTGGTGAACTTAACAAACACATTAGTTGTACTTGGTGAAGTTAACAAACACAAACCGAATTAATGTCACAAAAGGACAAACCGTCTCGGTCTTTCCACCCAAACGTTTCCCATTTATTTCCCCATCAGTTATGTCTCGCAAGCGTAACCGCGAAGTGATGGTTGTCAGTCAGGGGCGAAGACTGCAGGACAACCCATTCATTTAATTATTACTATCATCACTGCTGGTGCTTCAGGTCGTAAGTGGGGGGGGGTGGGGGGTGTTTCAGGTCTGCTTCGTTCCATGATCCCGACCAGAGCGGTACATCCATGGCTTTTTGGTCTTCAAGCGCAGACCAACAGCTCATGTTAACCTGTCGCTGCATCATCTATCCCTCTATTTCTTGGTGAATCGGCCAGTCGTCTGCCCCTCGTCTGCTTTCTGTCTGTAGAAAATTTAGGCTCCTCTGTGTTGTGGCATCCGCTCTGTGTGTTCTGTTCAGCTCTGCCTGGATTCTTAAATTGCCGCGACTGTGTTTAGGTATCGTACAACTCTTATAAGAGTTCTTGATTTGCCCTGCTCATTCATACGGCTTTAGTAGTCAATGGAGGAACTGACCCATTTTAGTCAGTGATATAACAGAACATCTTCTTAAGTGATACAACAAGACATCTTCAGCAGTTATATAACGGGACATTCGCATCAGGGATACGACAAGACATCTTCATCCGTGATACAAGACATCTTCTTAAGTGATACAACAAGACAGCTTGATCGGCGATATAAAAACACATCCCAAGTCACAACATTCCAGTGCTGTAAAAATCCTAAAATATTTGCCACCCCCTAAATCCACCAAACAGCGAAATCCTAGGGGTGAATTTCCTGGGGGTAAAATCTCTGGGGCCGAAATCCCTGGGGGCGAAATCCCTGAGGCCGAAATGCCTGAGGGGGGGGGGGAATCCCTGGGGGCGAAATCCATGGGGGTGAAATCCTTGTGGTTGAAATCCCTGGGGGCGAAATCCCTGAGATGGGGGGGGGAATCCATGGGGGCGAAACCCCTGGGGGGTCTGGTTTAGGTCTAATAATTGAGAAATGGGTGAACTTTATTGAAACAAGTTCAAGTCCTGGTCAACTCCTGGGGGCGAAATCCATGGGGGTGAAATCCTTGTGGTTGAAATCCCTGGGGGCGAAATCCCTGAGATGGGGGGGGGAATCCATGGGGGCGAAACCCCTGGGGGGTCTGGTTTAGATCTAATAATTGAGAAATGGGTGAACTTTATTGAAACAAGTTCAAGTCCTGGTCAACATTTTTTTTTCTCCGTGAACCTCAATGACATCTCAAAAGAAATATTTTTTCCTATTCATTGAACGTCTCATTAATCATACTCCGATCTCTAAATACCAGGCACTTGTCCCCCAGCGTCACACTAATTCAAAGGTTGGACATACACTCTACCATACTTGGCTAGACTACCTGTTGAAAGAACATGTTAACATAATTAGTTCACATCATGCCCACCGTAGTCATTCAATTGTGACATCTTTGGTACCTTCAACTCCCACCTCGATTACTCTGACCCGAAGACGATCCTGTCATATTTTTATGATCGCCCAAAAACGCAGTAGTTGACAGGCAGTGCGCACCTATCTATTTCATCTGCATTTGTCCCGCATGGACATTTTTACAATGACCAAAATAGCTACACATCAAGTTCATCTTTGGTTTTCCTACTCATCTAACTCAACGCCGTCAGTAATTACACCCGATACATCGCGACACCGCCCCTGTACAAGCAACAGAAAGAATGAGAAGATGGTACCCGATCCAAATTTTGTGTCACCCATGTTCCCAAATGGTTGCTCTGCTGATGTGGTTCACATAAATTTCTGCTACCTGTCAAGCCAGCCCACTCCTTAGCTTATGTGACCTCCCCCATCTTTTCCATGTTGAAACTGCCCCCTGTGTTCTCAAATGATTTCCCAACACTGTTAAATCGATGAATGTGGTTTGAAAATATTGCCGCCCTAAAATGTGTTATTTTCTTTTTACAAACCAGATAAAAAAGTTCTCAAGCTGTGACGGGGACATTGAAAATCTGCTCGCTGGCCGCATGCCGTGGGTTGGACAGCACCTCGTTTATGTATCCAACTGTGCTTCACGGTAAGCATATGACGTTAGCTAAGGCTGTATCACCATTGTATCAATACTGAAAAAAACCCCAGAGCTGTCCTGAATTAAAAATCATCAAATATGTTCAGTAAAAGAAAAAAAAAATTAAGATATCGGATTGAAGAAATAAATATCCGAATCGCATCCAGATTAAAATTACTTTTTTTAAAAAATGAATGGAAAGAACTTATTCCAAAACTAGTTCTGCGTAGTCTATACACACCCCGTAAAGTAAACAAAATGTATGTCATTTGCCACCTACCATCCCCTACACAACTGTACGCTCAGTCGAAGTGGATTTATCCGAACACGTTTTCGTATGTTTCAATGGCAGACCCGCAGACAATGTGACAAATGGGCGCCCCCCCCCCTCCTGGCAGCTCGTGTTAGATTTGATGAAATATGTCACGCCTGACTTACCTGTGCGATTGTCCCACGTAGGTCCAGGGGAAATGAACGCATTGTTCCAGGTAAGGAAATTAGTGACTATTTTCTAGCGTTGCTTGTTTTGTATGTGAGGAAAATATAACAGTAACTCGTTCAGCCAACACCAGATTTGACCAGGTTTATTTGTTATGTGTTGGTATCCGAGATAGCTTTTTAGCAATACCGAGCTTTAAACTTTAAAAAAAAAAATAATAATTAAAATATTTTAAAGTCCTAACATTTAAGACAAAAAAAAAAAAAAAAAAAAAAAAAAAAAATAAAAAAAAAAAAAAAAAAAAAAAAAAAAAAAAAATTATAAAATTAGCAAAAATAGACCATATTCCTGATTGATTTTCTCATTATGAAGCATAAATAAATAGAAAATCGAAAAAATACAGTGAAAACGACACAAAAGTAAAAAAAAAAGAAAGTTTAATACAAAAGAAAAAGGCTGCATACGTTTAACCTTTCTGGAAATGGCAAAAGTTAAATACAGGAAACGAGATAAAAACAACTATTTCTTTTTTCCCCAAAGAAATTAAGAAAGTTTTCAGCGGATGCATTACGTAAATGTCTTCCTATTTTCACGCCAATTTGTTTTAAAGACTATGCTCTTGTGAATGTAAAGGCTACAGAAAATTCTAAGCCATATTCAGGGCGGAAAAAAAAGGCGGGGAGAGGGGGCTGGATGGAGAAATAAATCTCTCTTTATGACCCGAACTTGTACTTTAGCCACAAGTTTTGGGGATAAGGTTAGATGTTGTAACGCTAGGTTAGGAACACCAGGTCACCAGGTTTAACACTAAGTTAGGAGCACTGTCGTACCAATCTTTTAATACTAGGTTAGGAACACTATACGTAACTATGTTACTATGAAAGATATCTAAAAATAACATTTTCTTCATTAAATAAATTAACTGCGTTGCTACGCATTTGTTTCTTATATTTGAAACACTGAGAAATCAAAATTGTGGAACGAATAGTAAAGGTATTTAATTAATTACAAAGTTTTCACACTTATTTTTTCACAACTTCTCTGTTTTAAAGCTTTCTTTTGAGGCGCACTTTAAGAATAGACCTGAGCGTGTAATGAATTTAGGGTATTTAATTAGATAAACTTCATTGAAATATTACAAGGTTTGCTTTTTATACATGTAAACAAATTGAATTGATTTTTTATTTTTATTAGAGATAGACAAAAGCCGCAGCTTAAGGGAAATAATCCCCAAAACATTTGATTGACATTCTTCCACAGGGCCTCGTCCACCTTCTGGCCTCCTGTTGCCTGATTTTTTCTGTTGAAGCTGGTACGTAAACTATAAACAAAAGTATGGTAGCTGATTGTGCAATTTCACGAATTTCATTTGCTGCTATTTATATATTCCAATGTACATTATTTATACACAAAAAAAAAACAAAACAACAACAACATCTTGTCATTGATGTATATTTCTCTAATGCCTTAGCTTAGACTTACTCATAAGTCTTGATTCATCATTCAACGGCGGAGACAGGGATTGTTGATCCCTGTCGACTTCCGGTTACAATTTATATTTTAAATATCACTTTTGGGGCCCAAATGTAATTTATTAGGAGATCTTCACCTTCAAAAGTCACTTTTCGTATTCCTGAACGTTTTCTTAATTTTTTTTAGACATACCTGCTGGGAAACCTTGCTCGGTAAATGAACAATGCGTGGTGAATTCTGAATGTACGGCACACCAAGGCGGCACGTGTGAGTGTAGGTCAGGGTTCTACGCCAGTGGCGGCGCTTGCGTGAGAGGTAGGTCAGAACGGTGGAAGAGTAGATCGGGCATTTTCCCAAAACATAAGCTAGAAACCAGTTCAATCTTTAAAACAAAGTACGAAAAGAAAAGGACCCCCATAAGTTTTAATGACTGACTTCAAGCGTCTGTCAGAATATCTCTGCTTGTGGTTCTATCCGTAAAATCTTGTCTGTGAATGATACTCTTAAAAAACACACACGATTGCAGAATGAATTTAAGATTTTAAAAAAGATTTAAAGTAAAACTTATTAAGATATACAATAAATTGATTAATGTATCACGGTCAAACTGAGATCTACCGGCGAAATGTTAGTAATGGCGCAAACGTTTCCTATGAAACTAAAGAACTTACCATTGATTTTTCTTAGAGCGGAATCTATTACTTTCTGAAACTCACACTACGTCATTAAAGATGCTCCAAATACTCTGTAAATTGCGTCAAAAATATATTGTAAAGAAAAGAAAAGGGGAGGGGGGCAGGGAATTGGGGAAATGCTGTCTTTTCTAAATATTTTGCTTATTTTCCACCGGAAGACCTTGAGTTAAACACGTGAATCTACCGGCGACTGCCATAGATTTAATCACGGATAGCTCTCATTTGAGTACATTCTCTCCACACCTTTAGATTTAAATGAGAGCTAGCCGTGATTGAGAACTTTCTGGCCACAGCTGCAGAATTACAGCTAGCCGTGATCATGTTACTCTCTGTCCACAGCTGTGGGGCTGAAGCGACCGTGTCGGGACTATGGGCAGTGTGGGGACAACGCCGAGTGTGGGGTGGACCGGTCAGGCGTGTGTGAATGCAGACGTGGGTTCTACGCCAGTGGAGTCATGTGTAAACAATGTGAGTCAGATACATACCTCTATTATCCCGAAGTCCGGTTGTGAATTTCCCTGTCTTTGAAGCACATCACATTTGCCACACGTCGTCCTTCGTTTTTAAACAATGAAAACATTCTGTTTGGCTTATGTGTAAAATATGGCTGCTTGAACTAATATATTATTTAATATTCCTTCAGACGAGTGGTTCTCAACCTGTGGGTCACGACCCCTTTGAGGGTTGAACGACCCTTACACAGGGGCCTCCTAAGACCATCGGAAAACATATGTTTATGAAGTAGCAACGAAAATAATTTTTATTGTTAGGGGTCACCACAACATGAGGAACTGTATTGAAGGTTTGCGGCATTAGGAAGGTTGAGAACCACAGATTTAGAGAGTTACGCCTTGACAAATAATTCTATGATGTGAAGACAAAAAATGTGTATCCAAAAAGCCAAAAAAAAACAACTTCACCCTTTAGTGATGTTTTAATCTCTGGATGTGGCACCCCACGATCGGACTGTGGCACTCCGAGCTCTGGGCGTGGCGCCCCCAAGATATTGACGTGGCGCCCCATAATCTGGACGTGGCGCCCCAGATGCCTGCAATTGCTGTTAAGTCGGCGCAGTAAGTTACCGATCGTACCACGGAGAGTAAGCACACCAACAGAGCAGGAACCTAATCACATCAATTGTTTTAAACTGAATAGGGTTTGACATTTTATGGCGAAAATCTAATAATAGAACATCCGGGCATACTGTCTGGCCAATCTCTTTAAGATATTAATAAATCATCCTGGTATTCCGTTTGGCCAGCATGTCAACAGCTTTTCAGTACTGTTATGTTAATGTGAGCCGGCATCGTGAGGCTTGACCTAGACCAGCGGTTCTCAACCTGTGGGTCGCGAACCCTTTCCACAGGGGTCGCCTAAGACCACCTGAAAACACATATGCTCTACAGTTATGAAGTAGCAACGAAAATAATTTTGTGGTGGGGGTCGCCACAACATGAGAAACTGTATTAAAGGGTCGCGGCATTTGGAAGGTTGAGAACCCCTGACCTAGACGAAAACGTGTTTACAACTTTATTTTACGAAAAATTTTACAAACACATTGTTACTGATATATATAATGTATATACTTTTATAGAAGCTTTGTTTTATGAAAACATTGTCTAAAATAGCAACATTACGTAATGTTATGCGCCGTCGTCCGGTCTGCGAAATGACAAGCACCGAAAGTTACAATTGTTGTCATAAATTAAACTAACATCATGGTCTGTTTCACTATATAGCGCTTGCCCTAGGCGAGGTCTGTGTGGCAAAAGGAGAGTGTGTGGCCAATGCAGAATGTAAAAGTGGCACCTGCAGGTGTGTCCTCGGTTTTTACAACTACAGGTGAGCTCTTTTGGTGGCAACATGTATGGGCGAGTTGGTGTGAGAAAATAAATTGTAAGACTTGTTTTGTTTAAATGTATCAGGTTTTCATCGTTTATGTTTATGGTCTTTAAGTAAATTCTAGGTAGGTTAAGATTCTTGAAACATAGGTTTTCCGATTCAATCTATCAATTTGCTTGTTTGGTATGTTGGAAATAGTAAAATAGTGTAAAATAATAATTAAGGAAGGCTCAACACATTCAATGGACAATAAGCCCACTCTACACTTTTGACGCTACATATTTGATACTACATATTTAAATTACAGTTTTTTACTACAGATTTGATACTACAGATTTGATACTACAGGTTTGATACCACAGATTTGATGCTACAGATTTGATACTACAGTTTTGATACTATAGACTGGATACTAAAAATTTGATACTACATGACATATTGAAATTACAGTTTTTTTATAACTACAGATTTGATGCTACAGATTGATGCTAAATATGTGATTCTATAATTTTTTTTTTAACGTGGAGGCAAATGATGACGCCATCCTAATCTCACGGCGATAACGTCACCACTTTTCGTGCTCTTTACGTTTTCCCCCTCATGTTTTCTTTGTTTCCACATCTCAGTGTTTGCCTTTGATTTCCATCAGGGGTTTCTGCACACGTTCCAGTCGTGCAGGTGAGTTCTGCGCCTCATCTGAGGAATGTGTCGAGGGTTCCCATTGTTCTAGCCATGTCGAGTACGTCTGCGTGTGTAATCAAGGACTGGTGAACCAGAACGGTGAGCTTCTTTGATTGCCGGAGCTGATAGCGATTAACCTTTGATTACACTTGCACTAATCTTACCTTATATTAATAACTTGTTGCACAAGCGACAGTGAAGCGATCCAAGAGGCACATCTCAACTCTATCTGTATTCTGTAAGGGAAGCGCACTAAGTGATGAATCGCTAAGCCCAATCCGTTTGTCGTCATCTAATGATGATAATTATTATGTTCAGTTTTTGTATAAGCAAGTATTATTTCCTACCAAATATATTTATTTACGGGGGCAGTTGTACACTGTTGTTTTCCCTTGTTAAAATAATTGTTCCCGAAAAAGGTTTAAAATTAAGCTGATAAGGGAAATGAAATCTCACGAGAACCTTAAACTTAAGCAACTCGATTTGAGAGTAATGCTATTTCGCGTTCGTTACTTCATTTACAAGGAAATTCCACGAGCTGTATTTTATTTCGGATGATGATGTCATCAAAGAATGTCATCAAAGCTACTATATCTACTTTACACTGGTCAATCCCCAGGCTTCTGTGTGCCACTGACGTCAAGGGATGAGCAAGTAACGAAACGAAACAGACTTCGGCTGTTGTTGTCCAGATTTAGCTGATCAATGACTGCAATGGAATTTGAGAACCTTGTTGAAGTCAAAGAAACAAGAACTGTTTAATGTTTTGACAAAAATCAAATGTGTTTGTTCTCTAGTATTTATGAAATAAAATATTGGTGTAAATAAAGAAAGAACATTTAGAATTCAATTCTATTTATTTCTCATAAATTGTGTGTGTGTTGAATAATTATTTATATCAACATGATACCATATTTTATTGTTTTTTTTATTTGTATAAAAAAAAAGTTAATTTCAAACAGTCTAACCTCGTATTGAAACACACGTTTGAATGAACCAAATATACAAGTGAAAAAAAGTTTTGAGATGACTGAGTTAAATAATTAATCATTTTCCCCATTTTCAGACTATTTTAAAATGATTTTTATAAACTTGAACTTCCGGTAATGGTTGGAACAAAAGAACGAAACGAAGACCGCAGGTATACTGGCTATACATGTATTAGATATTCATACCGCAACGTTTCGGTTGGACCAAATATAAAAAAAAAAGATCAAATAATGTTGACATTTATAAGATGAGATATAGGATAAGATTCTTCGCAAGTGACTACAAATACACCACTTCTGGCCTCGTCACTGACCTCTTAAAAAGATTTGACTTACCCTACCTGAAAGACAGACGAGAAAAGCTCCGACTAACATTCCTCTATAAAGTGGTCACGGGGCTAGTGACGGTCATTCCAGCTAACACGTATCTAACCCAGCAGAAGCCAGGTCGCTTAATCAGAGCCAAACGCTGCATAAACACTGACTTCACCTCTGACAACTCCATGAGCAGTTACATCCGGAACAATCATAAATGCTTCACTGTGCCTCAGTGTAACACAGTTCAATATAAACAATCATTCCTTCCACGAATAATAATTGCTTGGAACCACCTGGACAATACCGCCGTGGACTCGACATCAATCGAGAGTTTCAAGGCTGCCCTGGCACCCGCTAGGAGCCGTTAGGATAGCCGCATCGCTTCCCAAACTGTTGCACATATGCCAGTACTTGGTTGCAGCAACGTAGCCCATCAGAACCTATTTTAAACAAGACAACGTTTTAAAACAATAAAATTTTAAACACAAGAAATCTAAAGTATTTCTCTAGAGTAGACATCAGCTATCAATGAACAATATCAATATGATACGTTGATTAGTAAAATTGTAAATCACAATAATAAGGGATTTTTTTTTTGTTAAGTTTCTCTCGACTTCACTATCCTTTGCAAAGTTTATATCCACGTATTTATTACCAATCAAGACGCAGCTACATGACGCAATCGCCTAGGATAAACTAATAATTGGATAATCTCAAAACCAATTGTAATTTTAGTTTGACGTCAGTGCATTGTAAAACAACTTCCTCGACAATATCATTTGTGTACATTGGCAATCACTATAGACGCCGTCTGATTTCATACAGAGGTCTGTTTTGATTATATTTATATTGTATCTCGTCCTTAAAGTTAACATAGTAATTTTCATTCAAATAGTTTTCTGAATAGAGAATTTGTTGTACAGCTCCTTTTGAAAGGAGGAACATATATTGTGAAACCCAAAGTTTACATCAAAAATTCAACGATGGCTGTGAATTTGAAACATAGTTTACAAAAACGCTGGCCCACCAACTTAGCACCAACACTAGCTATGCTAATGATGATTTATAATTTCTTAGGAACAGGGCGCATAAATCCAAGCTTTGCTCTGGGCGCAACTTTTGCTTGCCATAGGCCTTGCCCTTGCTACCCAAATTTGTTCTTAAGGAAATTTTTTTAATGAATATAAGAAATTCTGCAATGTCGGCTACAGTTTTCATTCAGGCAGTCTTGAATTATCATAACGTGGCGTCTTTCACTCATACGGTTACTTGTAAGGACCTACCTAATCAAACAGAGAACATGATATCATACATATATGCTTGCACTTATCTGTGAGAACAAACAACTTTCTCATCTCATGTCTGCTGGTTTGGAAATAAATATAGAAATAACTAGAGTATCAACTAATACCAGCGTTCACTGAACCACTGTGAATTTCAAAAAGTTTACCCTCACTTCACAGACTGACCCCTATTGACATTTCAAAAACTGACCCTTATTTCAAAACTGACCGTTATTTCAAAAACTGAGCCTCATTTCAAAAACTGACCCTCATTTCATAAACAGACCTTCATTTCAAAACTGACCCTCACTTCACAAACTGACCCTTAATTCACAAACAGACCCTCACTTCACAAACAGACTCTCACTTCACAAACTGACCCTCATTTCACAAACTGAACCTTACTTAACAAACAGACCCTCACTTCACAAACAGACCCTCACTTCACAAACTGACCCTCACTTCACAAACTGACCCTTACTTCACAAACAGACCCTCACTTCACAAACAGACCCTCACTTCACAAACTGACCCTCACTTCACAAACTGACCCTTACTTCACAAACAGACCCTCACTTCACAAACTGACCCTCACTTCACAAACAGACCCTAACTTCACAAACTGACCCTCACTTCACAAACTGACCCACACTTCACAAACAGACCCTCGCTACTGAATTAACTGATTCCAACTAGTCGCAGTGCCTCACCTCCATGTAAAACAATTACAATCCTGACACTACTTTCTGACTCGCCTCGCCTCCATGTACTCAATTACTACACCGGCACTACTTTCTGATTTTTCTGACTTGTCTGACCCCAAACACCATCCTCATCCATTTCTCGTAAAGTTTATTCATTTACCATCTATCGCATTTAAACTATTCAATCGATTGAATATATTAAAAGGTGCAGGAAAAAAGCAAGATGGCCTCCAGATGTTTACAACCGTACATGCACTCCCGCGATGACGCTAACAGAGCCAATGCTGAGTCATGCCCCAAAGATGAAGTGTGTCAGCTGAAGCTACGACAGATCATTGGATTCAACGGCAACGTAGGTGGACGCTGGGCCGCAACTGCGGTCGTAAATTAGTTCGAACATTTAAGTTGGTCACTTAATCAGTTAATTGTTTCCTCTACACTCTAGATTTAACGGAATATTCAAAGTTGGATGACATTTGTTGTAACAATTTACCGATTTATTGAAAAAAGGGGGGAAAAAAGTGTGGGGGGGGGGTGGATGTTACATATTATTATTATTATTATTAGGTGGATTTATATAGCGCAGTACCCCAGCTTAGGGCCAGGCTCACTGCAGTACCCAAGCTTAGGGCCAGGCTCACTGCAGTACCCCAGCTTAGGGCCAGGCTCACTGCAGTACCCCAGCTTAGGGCCAGGCTCACTGCAGTACCCCAGCTTAGGGCCAGGCTCACTGCAGTACCCCGAGCTTAGGGCCAGGCTCACTGCAGTACCTCAGCTTAGGGCCAGGCTCACTGCAGTACCCCAGCTTAGGGCCAGGCTCACTGCACATGAAATAAAAATGAGCAATTACAGAAACGTTTACATTTCAAAACAACAGTAGTTGAAGAGCTTGGCCTCATCACTCGATTTAAATTTAATTTGTTTTATTTAACTTTGTTTTAAACAATCTGGAACGTTCCGCTTGTATTTTGATTTTTTTAATTCCTCTTACTTGCGCCAACAAAGGCTGAACTCCCCCCCCCCCAACCTTATCTGTAAAACACATGCGAAAAAATTAAAACCAGGGCTGTCTTATCCACTGGCACTGTGCCTAGGATCTACGAACGTACAGGGGCCCGAAAAAGTCTAAAAATTAAAATTTAAAGACGGATGTGCCCTAATATAACAAAAACAAAATTTAAAATATGCTTTAAAAAGTTCATTTCATTTCACTTTTCTGTAGACAGTTATACAAATTTATAATATTTATACTAATCTTTATAATAAAATATTATAATTAGATGAGATGAACATTTCGACAGTAGTTTTGCCAAAGTGCCCTAGGGTCTAGGGTCTACAACGATCCCACATCGGCCCTGACTAAAACTAAGAAGATTTCGAGTTAAACGTTTACACTACTGCATTTTTTTTTTGGTTGTTACTTAATAAAGCAATCTAGGCTTCTTTTTTAAATCAACGATCTATAACAGGGCTGCACAACTCAAAATGTAAGGCGGGCCGTAATAAAACGTTTGAGGGCCGAAAGAAAATAGGACCGTGGGGGGGGGGGGGTGCTATTAAGAACATTCTAATAACAGGAAAATTCCGTTACTTCGGGGGCCGAAAAGGGGTTGTTGGGGGCCGCATGCGGCCCCAGTGCCGAATGTTGTGCATGCCTGATCTATACTTTCGTTATAAAAGTCTTGCGACGTGCACGTATCGCCGAAAAGGTTAGGGTCGTCCTGTAACTGACCTGTGAAAATTGGTCAAGTTTTGGTAACATGTTACAACCTATAAAATACAGAAGAGTAACTGCTTTCTCATATTGTATTATTAAGTTAAAGCCATTGAGACAACAAAGCTTAAAATTTTATACAAATGTTATGTGACTCCCATACGTATCTTGTTATGTGGCTTCTATACAAATGTTGTTATGTGGCTCCTATAAAATGTTAGGTGGCTCCTATACAAATTTTGTTGTGTGGCTCCTCTACAGTTTTTATTTGACTTATATACAAATGTTATTTGGCTCCTATACGTAAATTTTTTTATGTGGCTCCTATACAAATGTTGTTATGTGGCGCCTATACAAATTTTGTTATTTGGCTCCTCAGATCAGGGGAGGCCTCATTGTTCACACGTTAGGACAGCACATCATCTACCCAATAGGACATGACGTCATCATTGAGGTCCTCATAGGACCAGACGCCGGCTCACAGGAAATCCTGTCTGGCCACACAGAGTAAGTTGGGCGACGCATGTGCTTCCTTACTTCAAAGTAATCGTGTAAAAGGCATTGTGATGTCGTTTCATGATCAAGTTTGCTTGCGTCAGCTACATCAATGAGCCGATATCTCTGTGAGAGAGCTGTCTGCTAAGTAAGGTGTCATACCATCACAATCGTTCATTGAAGAATTCTATGTGAGTTATCTGGGTCCTCCACTTCCACAGCTTGAGATTTCTCTTGGTCGTCCATCTGAGTGTTGCCCTGAAAGACTAGGTATGATGGGGGGAAAGGGCTGGGGGCGTTCTACTGACGGGAATAACCATCT